GTGCACAAATTTAGCTTAATAATAAAAATTAACAAAAATTTTGGATTTCCCCCTTTTCTACTGACCACCTCCCATATGCAAAAATATTCGAGAAGAAAACATTCATGCTATGGGTAATACGGCAGTTGTGAAATCACGCTGATGGAAAGTATTTTTCTGTTATATCAACAAGTTGGTGTGTGACCTACTGAAGCGAGTTCGATTAGCATTTATGTATGAAATAGGCACGAATAGGATATGCAGAAGTGGTCAATAAGCTTTATTTAACTCACGTGGCAAGTTAGCTACAAACACGAACACTAACCAAAAATTCGAATCTTCGAGATCTAGCTCACATTGATGGATCGATCAACTCCACTTCAAATTTTTTGTCTTTTTTACAAAACCCGTAATTACCGAAGTGAATACAGAAAGGAAAGTTTTGATAGCATTTATGTAAGCAATTGATTCCCCATACCAGGGTTGTACAATGACATAAAATGATGCTTTTGCCGAATTTCCCAAAGTCACGTGATGACCGATTTTTTTTCAAATCATTATAAATGTTCTCGATAAGTCTCTGAAAAAATTCTGCAGTCACGAGAATTATGCTGATTCGTTCCCAAATGGTTAATTAATTTTGGCGAAAAAAAAAATATTTTTTTTTTATTATTTCAAATAAAATTTAACATATACTTACTTTATACGGCTTTGAAATTTACAGATTATATTTATCCTCGCCTTCTCATCAAGTTTACTTAGAATACAAAGAGGGTTTTAAATGCCATTGTTTGTTTAGCAAAACCAAACATTTTGAAAATTATATATAAAGTCAAAATAAAACTAAGTAAACTTGTAGAGTATATAAAATTATAATGTATGATTTTAAAAATGTATGAGTCGTCTTCAAAAAAAAAATATTTTTCGTTTTTATGTTAGGAAATGATTGGATAATTATCATATGACTGCAGAATTTTCGGGGAAAGTAGCATAGGATATCCCGGATATTCATATAAAAACAGCAATAATTATTAATCTTTGGTTAGAAATATTAATAATAATTAAATTTAGGACTACCGAAAGTCAATCAATCAACAGAATGGCACTAAATTCGAGAAAAATGGCGTCATTCTAATTCATTGTCTTTTATTACATACCGGTATATGATGACTTGAATGTCAGGATCTGTTGTTATCTTGCTGGAATATTACGACATTTATTTATTTTGGGTAAACATCATCGAATTTTATTGTTCGTAATACCTAAAGCAAGTTAAGCCAGTAAAGTTTCATAGAGATCTACTCGATCAACGAATTCTCTCAAGTATTGTAAGGCAAATTTACTTTCATACAGAGAGAATGATTTTTATTTATTAATGTTAAAAAATATAAATATTAGATCGCAGCATATCAACACATTATTCAGCTAACTTTCCTTACTACTTGTAAACTAATTTATCAATCAATCTTTATCGTTACGCGAACCTGTAAAAAATTAAGACTGTTTCAAAATGGCGAGATCGTGATTTTTGTGACTAGTTTCCTAACGTCGAGATAGTTGACCTCAAGTTGAAAAATTAAAATGTATCCAATCTTACCTGATTGAAAATTTGAGTTCTTAAAAGCACGTAAAGACCATCATTATTTCGTTATTCCTGTTTCAATTAAGCTCTCGAATTAAGAAAATAAATGAAGCGAGATATGATGATAGTGCTTGCTATATTTGACATAGTTATAAACATACCAGTGATAGGGAAGTGTGATGATGAAACGATTATATTCTTCGAGTAGTAAATATTACTAATTCATTTTGTCGACAAAATTTGATCATTGTCATGGAGAAAAGAGCGCTTATTTCGTCATAATGGTCATCCAATACTTCTATAGTTTTTATGTCGATTGAATCAGTTTTATCTCCTTTATGGCTTCCTTGAGACTGAATATGCTCTTATCCTTCCAAAGATAACCTTTAAAGCAAGCGTTGCGACAGGAAGTTTTTTTTAAGGCGACAGAAAAGAGTGATATTGGTCATATTTTTTCATGTGAAGATTACGAAGGTAGAGGTCGGGAATCGGCCTAAAATTCCTTAACCGGTTAATTATGCGGGTAAAAGGTGTAAAAAAATTCGATTGGGATCGGATTATTCCAAATCTGTTAAGTATTTCATCGACAAATATCTATCAAAACTATACCCACTAGTCAATGCTTTAATATTTTAAAGACTAATGATAAAGTAGTAACAAGTTATTACAGATATTACTTTTTTTTTATTAAAATATATATATATATATTGGCAAAATTGAATATCAACCCCTGTTGAACTTAATTTGTAACCCAACCATTACGCTGAATATTCGACAACATTGCAATCTACATGTCTCAATATAAGAAATAAAAAAAACTATTAAACAGAAAAATAAATGGAGCAACTCATCACTTAGAAATCCGCGACAAACGTTATTGTCCCTTTCATGAAGGAGCTCATGATACATATTGTCATGTAATTCTAGACCATTTATCGTAAGGTTAAATATTGTGATATTATGTTTGAAGAAGCGAAACCTTTGGATTTTTACCTTGATCAGCTCTGATACAACCTTTATAAACTTTTATGTTCCACCAATTTGAGTAAAAAGCGTAATTAAATGGGACGTTCCACATAAAGGCCAAGGATTCATTTCGATTTTCGAAATGGTACACAATGACTCCTACGCGCGGATTATATCGATTAAATACTTCAGGTTCCGTATAAACTATTTCTGGCGAAAGATTTTTGATGGTAATAGCAACATTTATGCTAAAATCGCCTATTTTCTGTATGATAAAAAAAAAATTTACTAAAAAAGAAAATTCGATGAGTTTAATACCATAATTGGAAATTAAATTATACATTTAGGAGGTTGGTTATCAAAGAAAAAGCAATTTCCGAAAAATCGTAAACGCATTTTATCATGATTGGAATTAACAGTACAGTACAGTTACCATCATGAGAAAAAAACGAGAACATTTTTAAGTATCGGTCGTATGATCATGTTGTGTGACAAAGAGCATGATTTATTACTAACCATTTTAAGCAGCTTAAATAATAAATCTAAGTAATGACATCATACAATAAAAATTTTCACATCTCATATCGTGACTCGGATTTTAATGATTCAAAAATAATTTAAGTTGTATCGAATAATCTTGTTTTGTATGGCATGATTGCTAGCAGGATAAAGTTCTTCGCAACAATAAGTTTTGACAAAAACAATTCAAATCCAATAAATTTGAAATCAGGCGTAAACGTTTACGAAAAAGCATCAAGAATTAAATGCGCCATTTTGAGTCATGAAGAAACAATGATCTATAAATAACTAAATGGGTAAGTAGCATATAATATTAAACTTTTTTAACCTTGCGACATTACTAAGGCTGTTCTCTCTTCTTCTCCTACAAAATCGCATTAATAATTTCTACCCTTTTTGTTACATCGTTTTATGCATCGTGCAAATCGAGAGTTAAAGTCTCATTTTGCGTGGTTTAAATGCTTGATTTCGGTATTGTATTTGCGTGATTTTAATGATTGTTTATAATCATGAACCGCGGCCATAATGCTTGACCTCAAATTTATGTTCACGTGCATGAACCGCTCCTAACCTCCTTTTCATGAAGTCAGCAATGTTTCATTATCTGCCTTTTTTATAACCTGATCTTTCTAACAATCATTCTAAATAGTTTATTTTTATGAGGATATTATTGAAATTGTCAGATAAAACGTTTCCATAAGATGACGCAGTTTATGCAATTGAAGACGCGTTGATGATGAATAAATGCAGAGTTTTAACCTCAATAAAAAATTTTTTTTATTTAAATGATAATTATTCTTAAAAGATTCGACTTAAATTATCTATTATCGGAATTGATCCGGATGCATGTTATTTTAGCCAGAAATCAACCATTATTTAAAATTGGAAATTTAAATTCAATCCAATACATTCTATTGAGTATGATCTCTTGATAATTATAATTTACCATTGAAGCCGTGATCTGTGACTGCGGCGATCATCTGATTTAGTTGACAAATATGACAGATTGGTCATATTTGACCGATGATCTATATTTATCATAT